AAGCCTCTTGATAGACCTTTCAATATGGGTTGAGAGAAATATGAATGTCTAAGAGAATAACGTAGGAAGAAAGTAGGAAGGAACAAAGGACCTGAAGAACCAACGGTATCTGAGAGAGAGAGAGTCCTGTAAAAACAAGCGGCATCCGCTGATGACTACAGGAAGAGACGGTTATTATCTGAGGACTCCAAAAGACTGGTGCATTGTTCTGGCCCAGTGCCAGGTGCACATGATGATCTGGCTGGGATTATAGAGCTCTTCTGTTAAAGCATAGATCACATGTGTACTGGAAATGTGTTCTTTCTCTGGATTTGAGGTGACAGACAGCCATATCACATGCCATCCCTTTTTCTATCCTGGTCCCAGCCAGGCAATAAACCAAATCATCACCCAGTCTGTCTCAACCATGTGGTTTTCCTAGCCAGCTGAACAAAATATTTTCAGAATGTGGAATGTAAACAAGGTCCCTACTGTTAGCAATTCTGTGTCATTTGCTTGTGGTTTATTTTATTTTACTTTAAGTCACATTTAAATTCAAAAGATTGCCAGCCTGCATGATGCATGTAAACAAATCAGAAATATAGATTAGAATTGCAACTGATTAGTCCGCCATGAAAGTATCTGTGTAAATGGAAGAAAGGGGGAGGAGGATCTATTATGCTCCTGGGATATTGCTTCTCCACGGGAAATTCAATTGTGAAAAGGGTTTTAAAAGCAATGACTTTAGTCATTTGTGTTTTCTCCACACTGGTTCCAGTAAATGCTAATAGAACTCCTAGGCAGAACCTCCACCTGGGCCCATGTGATACAGCCTCACAAGGAGAATCAGAGAGTGATTCTGCAAGGAAAACTCCTGTGACACACACAGGCAGAAGGTGACCGCAAAATATGTGTTGCTCCTGCTATTGAAGATGTTCTTTTTTAAGAAAACGCAATTTTCCAGGTCCATTATTTCCTGTGGTTTAAGAATCCATGTCTCTGGTGCATGATTCTAAGTGATAAAGGTTGTATGAACCCTCTGGTACTTACTGAGAATCCAAATCAAGACTCGCCTTTGTTTATAAATTACCTTGGAAACACACTCTATCTTCCCAATCAATAGGGAGCCAAATGAGGCATAACGATTTCAAGATTTAGCGATGGACCTACACAGATAAAGTTTCCCTCGCACCATGCCATTAACCGTACCTTTTCTAAAATTTTATTTACACCCAGTTTCACTCTGTATCCTTCTTATTCTATTTGATAGCTGGTAAGCTAATATTAAAATTCATTGAAGTAGACCTCTCTTTGAAATATTTATGGTATCTTTTGAATGGAAGTCAAGTAGCAGTCTGAGGGTCCCAAAGCATCAAGCACAGCAGATGTATATCCCTGAGCTCAATGTATTCCATCCTCAGTTGTTACTTCCTCCTTCACTCAATAGTAATTGGTTTCCAGCTCATCCAATTAGTCTCGTCACACTTTCTCAAGTGATGCCAGCTGTATTGTGATTCACAAAAGAATCTTCCTCTGAATAAAGCCCTGGGGAATAAGGTTTTGTGCCCTATAAGATTAGGCACCTGGGGGATTGGAGGAACAATCAGCTCAATCCACAAATTATTTGGATCATTTGGCAAAAGAAAAAAAAGCAACTTCCTCTAACAGGTGAGATTTGAAAAAGTTTTCATCTGAGAAGGAGCAAGGGACAGCTCAAGAATGGGGACTTCAGGCACACAGGGTGATAATGGGAGAGGATAACCCGAGTTTCAAGTTGAGCAACTCTGCAGATAGATTTTGGTTCCACACCTGAGCATTCTGACAAAGAATGAAACTTAATTCTTCAGGAAAGTCCTGAAACCAAATAAAACACTCGTCCAATGGAACAGGAAGGACTTTAGTTTTCCCACACATTTCTGGATGCTCATGTGAATATACATTTCAACTCAATCTCTCCTTGTTAATGTGGCGTGAAGACAAATCATTTATGGTTGATCATAGAATATTTATTGTCAATCTTAATGGATAAATGTATTGATTTTATATGCTTTCTGTGCCTAGAATCTCCTAATTTTATTTTCATTCCATCCCCCTCCTTTTGTTCCCTATAGCACATGCATGAACAATATGGAAACCTGACTTTAATTAGGCACTGGCTCACACGTCATGTTTCAGTGAGAACTGTTTTCATTGTGAAGAAGTCTTACTGAAAAAAACACTCATGGATCTCCCTTGAATCTCCTTGATCTAAATTAAAACCATGCCCACTTGTTTTACTGTGAGGAGAAATATTTATTCCTCCTACTCGTAATTCCAAATTGGCCCATGAAGGAAAGGGCATCTACTTATACCCCCAACGAGGAATGTTAGGGAGAAATATTCCAGAGCTTGATCACCGTCAGCCATGTTTCACACGTACAAAGGGTCACTGAGCTCCATCTTGCACAAATCCTCTATTCCTTGATAGATGAGAAGGAACAGTGCTCTTTGCTGCTTCCTGTCCCCTGAAAGTCATGATGTGCACTAACACCCATGCAGTAACCCTCTCTCCAGAACTCCAGAGTCTGGGAAATCTTCAAAGAAAGGAGCCAAGACCTCTCTTTGGCCTCAGGTTAGAAATACACCCTCTAACGCGGTTTTCCTGTATGGTGGGGAGGGAAGTGGAGGAGATGGATCATTGATGTGGCCATTTTGAAAAGTGTGCCTATCAGCAGTGCCCATAAGATAGTTGTTAACTGAGTGCAACTGTCAGAGGTTGAAGGAGATGGAGGTCTTTGGTCCCAACACCTAAGAGATAACTTTTGTTCCACCTGCAAAATAAAGCTGTCTGAGGTTGTCAGCCCTTGAATAACTCCAGTGACCTTATAATGATTTCCCTTTGGATCTTATTTTATGAAGTATTAATTATACAGTTTTGCTTTGGGATACTTCTAGCTCATAAAATGTGTTTCTGAGAATACGCTGAGGGTTCTACTAGGGTCTCATCCAATTGAAATGCTACTTTCCCATCTCGTGGAGCCAAAAGCTTTTCATTTGTGTTAAACTTTAAAAATAGCTTCTTTGTCTAAACAACAGGCACCGCTTTGGCTGTCCCTGTAGCATCTGTGAGTGTATCCATGCTTGCTGCCATTCTCACACATCTAGTGTGATCCAGCTGGGCACTCCTCTCCCTGGTTCAAGCGCATATGTGGCATACATTTTACCACTTGGACCATCTTTTCTTGCTATTTAAAGAACAGCACCCTGGTCAGGAGGCCAAGCTACTGTGAAAGTTCAGATTCAATGTCATTGGCTGGTTCAGATTTTAGTGTTATATAGAATTTGGGGTATTAGTATATCTCTGGATTATTTTTTTCTTTTGATTTTTATAAAAAAATGGCTGGCAGTTCTGTTGATAGCATGTTGTGATCATATCTTGGTTCAGCTGAAAAAATAGTGTTTAGGATGGGCGTGGGAAAACTACTCTTCTCTCTCAAAGACAACTAACAGTTCCTCCAAAAACTAATCAGGAACTCCTACATAAAATTCATGTTATTTTGTTGTTGTTGTTCAAAAGAGTAGACATACTATTAACATAGAATTAAAATAAAGAAAAGAGAATATAATATTCCATTTCATGAAAATGACAAATAATAAAGTGCATTAATTAATTCTGTGTATGGACTAATTAAAGGAGCCATAGACAGAGAAAGAGAGGAAAAAAACAAGGGGGAAGATCAGGTGAAGACTGAGATATGGAGAAATCCACACACATGCAGGGGCAGGGGGAAGCTCAGATAAGCCAAGTGCATAAACTTTAGAGTAACAGCCCTGAACTATGGCTTTTGAATATGTTACCATTAAATAATGAAACATTTTTACAAATGGAGCATCAATGAAGAAATTATGCACTCTCAGAGTAGATAGTGGAGGCAGAACTTGAGGCCACTGTTCTACCCCTGATTTAAAGAAAGAAATACTAGAAAATAGAACAGTTGAAATGTGCAGTATTTAGAGATTGAGCTTATGTAGCCAGGAGTATCAAGAAGGTGATAGAAGGGGAAAGAGTAAGTCGTAAGAGACAAGGGTATTGCTGTGAGCTGGTTTCCGTACACAATGTCGTCAGCATTGCCTAAAAACCTGGAGATCCACAATAGAAAAGGGCAGGAAATCCTGCAATAAAAACCCAACAGCGATTCTGGCTGAGTCGACCCCACCTCCCATCCCTCTAGCCTGCTTCTCCACTTCATTCCAGTTCCCAGATGAGATACCTCCAGGAGCCTCCTTCTTGTGGAGATCAATATAGCTCTGAAAGGATAAAAAGCACAGAAGGGGCCACAGCCAATTCATACTGTGAGACTCAACAATTAAAGTTATAGGCATTTGGCACACTTACTGGTAAACACAACCATGATTACAAACTAAAATTACATGCATATAAAATTAAATTATGTTACTATCAAAGGTAGTCAATACTGAAAACTCATCATGCCAGAATTATTTCTCATCTTTGTCTATTGTTTATGCTTACGGTTTATTTATATTTATTGCATCTATTCAGTGGAAATACTGCACAATGTTAACTTCCTAACTCCATAATGAGTGACGTCAGACTGGCGGCTTGAAATCAGCCACAGTGAGAGTGTTCGCACCACACAAATCAGCAAATTGTATTCCCCGCATGGGTGATTATGTCAAAATGAACCCCTACCATGTATATCTAAAAAGAACAAATAAAAAATTTAAAAATGATATTATGGTACGTAGAGTTCTAATGAACTAATAAAAAAACCTTAGGGGGTGTACTGGGGATTGAATCCAGGGGCACTCAACCACTGAGCCACATCCCCAGCCCTATTTTGTATTTTATTTAGAGACAGGGTCTCACTGAGTTGCTTAACGCCTCATTTTTTGCTGAGGCTGACTTTGTACTTGGGATCTTCCTGCCTCAGCCTCCGTAGCCACTGGGACTACAGGCATATACCACTGCACCCCACTTAATAAAAACATTTTTTAAAAAAGAAATCAGGAAACGCTTTAAAGCCAGTAAATTAATGCTTTTTAATTTCCCAGAGAACTAGTTGTTAAAATATTTACCAACACATCACTAAATAGAGAGAAAGGCAACCAAACTGCCAGATTTCTGCCCCCAAAATAAAATTCTGTAACCACAGGAATGAGATAGAATGGTCAAAAGTATTTTAAGTATAAATATTCACTGGGAGTTAGCAGCATCCCAGGTGTACATTCATGGTTTTCTCACCATCTGTTATATTGCGTGTGTTACTGGACTTTTGGCCAAAACTCATCATATGGCCAGCCCAGAGTGCACACAGGGTGTTGTGAACAGCTTGGCGTTGATCCTGAATCCACACACTGCTCAAGCATGCTGGAAGTTCTAACATTTCTCAAATATCCTCCCATCAGTGGAATGGCACAGCTGTGAACTTAAAAAGAGAAACCCATGATAAAAATCAATGTGGCATGTGCACATGTGCACACCTGAGTGCCTATATAAGTGGAAAATGATTTCTAGAAATAAGGAAACCACACAGAATGGGAATTACAATGGGCACTACATGATAATTAGGCACATCTTGTCAGCTAATCCACCATTCCTTCTGGACACGTATTATCTTATCCTTCAATTTTTCTCCTTTCATAATTACTCAGTACTTACTTATATCTCTATAAAGCTAGAGTTAACCAGATACAGAGATAAATACCTGACATAGAAAATATTTTATTTGGTTTATCCCAATATAACCTAAGCTCTCAGGCATAATTTTCCTCTTTCTTAAAAAATAAAATTCTTTAAAAACTTTGGGCCCAGCAATTCATGAACCTGAAGAGAGCTGAACCTATGAGAAAGCATCTACCCGCCTACATGACGTAGTTGGATGGATATCAGAAAAATCTTTTACTATCCTACTATTCCTTCATTTTGCTGAAGCACATAATACAAGCTTAATATTTTTAAATGAATCTTTCATCAAAGAGAGTTTTACTGCTTTGTATTTATCTTGACTGCATTCAGGCCTCCCAAAATGATACATAAGCTGGGTATGTGGGACAGAGAATTTATTCTAGAGGAATATCAGAAACAAAGAGAAGTAAACATTGAAGAGGAATGTAAATAGGTCTTTTTTTAAGACAAACTTTGATTATTTTTAAATGTAACTGAAGTTGATTTCAAAGAGCTTCAGGGATGAAGTTCAATGGTAGAACCCTTGCTTAGCATGTGGGAGGCCCTGGGTTCAATCCCCAGTATTGGGGAAAAAAAAAAACTTACAAATAAACTGAAAGTCTGTTTACTGATATGGATCCTGGGGTTACCTTGAATTCTACAGGATTCCCAATGTACCATATGGGTGATCCCCTAAAAAATGGCCAGCATAAACCTGTGTTGGTTCTTAAGAAGTTACAGTTGTGTCCAATTCTGTTTAAGGGGCAGGCTTTGTCTTGTTGCACTTGGGAGGATTGTGCAAAGATCTGGTGTTTGTCCCACTCTGGGTGGAAGTACTCAATGAGCAGCTGATTCTTGCTTCTATGGCTGATTTTTTACAACCACCAAAGCACCTTGTTCAAAGCAAAAAGCACAGCTTAGGAACTGTATTAAATTTTCTCCTCTTAAAAACCTTTAGATTATTGAATTCTCTCTCAATTTCTCAAAATGTGGCATTAATGATCTCATCCTAACTTTGTCAATTTTCCACATATCTATCATCAAAAAGAGATGCTTCCTTCCATAAACTATCTCACTGGAGAGTAGTAATTCAGATTTATAATGCAGCTAAACTTTATTTTTAAGAGGCTAAGAAGTTCTTCCCTTCATAATGTCACCCTATGTGTCTCCATTCACTATTAAGGGAGAGGAAACAGTTTTCTGGGTCTCTGTGGTTTTTTAATTTGGTCACCTTTGTTCTATATTCTTATTTTATCTTTCAACTACCCACGAAGAAAAGGACCACTTAAGTGAAAAACAATCAAGATATCAAGTACAATATCTGGCTTACTTAATTTTCAGCAACTTGCTTACATTTAATATAATAATACAAATGCATTGCTCATGGGAGTGTAAAACTATACAGCCACTTTGTAAAACAGTTTGACAGCTTCTGTATGTGTAAGTAAACATACACTTACCATATGCCCCTGCAATTCTACTCATAGATATCTACCCCAAAGCAAAGAATACACGTGGTCTGTCCAAAGACTCGCACACTCGAACAAATGTTCATACAGCAATATTCATGATAACAAAAAAACTGGAAACAATCTAAAATCTATCAGCTGCTGAAAGGATAGACAACTGGTGGTATAAATATACGATGGGAAAATATTTTGTTTTATCCAATAAAATGGAGACAAACAACAATATAAATGCACCTCAAAACATTATGTTAAGTAAAAAGCTGGGTACAAAATACTGCCTATTGTATAATTTCACTTATATGAAAAGTCTAGAAAGGGGAAAATGAGACAAAATGAAGATCAGCAGCTGCCTTGGGACTAGAGATTGGGGACCATCTGCCAATAGTTTGTGAGAGAAGCTATTGAATTATAGCAGTGGTCTAAAATTGAATTATTGCAATGGTTGCTGTCTTAGTCCATTTTCTAATTGCTAAAACAGGAGACCTGAGGTTGGGTAAGCTCATAAAGGAATGAAGTTGTTTACCTCATACTTCTGGAGGCTGGAAGTCAGGATTGAGCAGTCACATCTGGTGAGGGCCTCAGGTGCGTCATAACACAGCAGAGAAGCAGAAGGCAAGTGGGTGCCTGCAGAAGAGATAAAATACTAGGAGCAACCTCACTGCACAACAATTGCTCTTGCAAAACTAATCCAATCCTGCAAAAACTACATGAATCCCTCTTCATGATGGAATCACCTCTTAAAGGTTCCACCACCTTCCAACACTGCCACCATGACAACCAAATTTCGACATGAGTTTTTGGGAGTGTAAGCCATATTCAAATCATAACACTTTCACAACTATATATTGGGACTAAAAGATGTGTAAAGACACACTTAAAGTGGGTAAATTTCATGCTATGTAGATTATCCCTGAATAAAGCTGTTTTTAAAAACTGCGCATGTGGTGCTCTACCATTAGTACATACAGAAAGAAAAACATAACTATCTTTTTACCTTTACAAAAAGAACCATAGGAAAGGTGAGAAATAAGCAAAGCAAGAAGTTGGTTACCTGTAAGAGGAATGTGGCAGTAGAGAGGGAGAAAAAATAGCACCTCTTCAAGATGCCTTTCTGTATAGTGTTTCTTCTAGGAATATGACCCTTCCTATACTCAAAGATTAATTAAGGCAATAAGAATGGGACCAGAGAAACAAAAGGGAGAACATGGAAACAATCATTCCAATTAGGTTACAAATGAATTGTACAATCACACATACGGAAAACAGGAAAAGAAAGAACTAATCCTAGCAATGAATATTTGACTACGTACCCTCAGTTCATGGTGGGTGATTGGCCAGGGAGCAAAATTACAAACAATTTCTAATTCCCCCTCCCAGACTTGTTTTATGTAGAGGGAAGGATGAAGCAACTCTGAAACTATTTTAGATGTACTGAGAAGATAAGTAAAAGTGTTGTTGTAGAGACCCAGAGCTCTAATTGAAAAAAAAAAAAACCCACAAATATAAATTATAAAAAGACAAGAAAAAAGAATGCAGAGATACATTGAAAAAGAAATTTCTATAAACTCACTAAAGTATATATGTTTACATGTATATGTATTTATCTGTATATATTCATGCAGGTCCACGTGTATTTGTATGTATGTATATAGGTAGAAAAATTCTTGTTCTCTCAACATAAAGGTACAAGAAAAAAAGATTTTCCAGAAGCAATGAGCATATCTTGCACCAGATCTTGATCCCTATTAACTTCCCTGAACCAAGACACTTCATAAAAATGATTGAATTTGAGACTAAAGCATGTACCCACAAGAAAAGCCTGGGTAATCTTTTTCTGCCAGATATTAAGTGCCTCAAATGACTAGGGTTATCTCATATCATAAGAACAAAGGAGCCCACTAGTAAGGGCTTCACTAGCCAAACCTAGGGCAACTGAGCACCAAAATAATTAAGCACAGTAGTAAATTATAAACTATGAGTCCACCCCTATGATAAATACATAATAATCGCCGTTCCTTCCTAACAAGAGGTAAAAATCTGAAAGATTCACTCTTCTTAGATCCATGAGAGAAGTGAGATCACAACCAATGCATGGCCACAGGGAATACTGATGCTCCTCAAATTAGCAAATAGTAAGAATCATGACTTAATAGAGCAGAAACACAGGATTAGAAACCTACCCAAGAACCATTGCCAAGGCAGGAAATCCTAACCTGTATTTGATGAATCACTAGATGCTGAGTGTGAACAAGACTTGGAGTAAAATCTCCAAGTAAAATCAAGTTTTAAAGGGGTCTCACACATTTGTGAGCTTCACCTCCTGGAGCTTTACCAGGTTTTTCTTTCTTTTTTTTTGTTTTTTTTTTAAGCTTCGTTTTTTGTTTTTTTTCGTCCCAGGGCTAATTATAGAACCCAAGGAAAAAAAAAATTTAAGAACTTACCCATAGAGGAGCGAAAATAAGAATTACATGTGACTTCACTTTAGAAACAATACAAGCAGAAAGTGGAATGATACATTCAAAGTATTGGGAGGAATGAACTCACTATCCTAGAATTCTGTTCCTGCAAAATTGTTCTTCGAAAGTAAAGAAGAAATAAAAGACTTTCTCACACAACCAAAATTTGAGGGAATATGTTACCAATATACCTGCCTTGTTAGGAATGTTGAAAGAAGTTTTTCACAGAGAAGGAAAACAACATGTCAGAAATTCAGATCGACGTGAAGAAAAGTTTTAAAAACCTCAGAGAAATTGACTAAGTGAGAGGAAAAGAAAAACGTTTCTTATTCTTTGTTGATGCAAAAAAATTAAAGTTTTCTTCAGACAATGAAGGCAACAATATGTTTAGTTGTGTGTGTGCACGCAGTTGTGTGTGCGTGCACACAGGGAGTCACAGCAATGATGCAACAGACTGCAGGGAGTAATTACTTGCATGACTAGAAAAGCAGCTTAATGTTATGTGAACAGGATTCGAGTTAATTATAATTATGTATTACAAACACTAGGATGACCACGAAATAATAAAAACATAATTGATATGGTTAAGAAAGGAGAGAACATACAGTCATATCATATACTCAATTAAAACCAAAAATAGGCAGAAATGGAGTAGACAGTAATAGGAGTAAACAACAAGTTCAACAAATTTAAAAAAACGTAATAAATATGGTAAATAATAATCAACAATATCAATAATCCTTTGAAAATCAATGGTCTAAATGGATCAATTAGTAGATGTTGTCACAGTGGATAAAAAAAAATCTGTATATATCTTATCTACAAGAACCCTATTGTAAATATAAAGACACATGTAGGTTAAAATAAATAAATAGATGAAGGAAGATATTCATGCTAACATTAATCAAAAGAAAGTAAGAATAGCTATGTTGATTTCAGACAGAACTGTTATCAGAGTAAGAAAAGTCACCAGGGATGAAGAGGGACGCTATAGGGCTGAGGTGGTAGCTTAGTGGTAGAGCACTTGCCTAGCACATGTGAGGCACTAGGCTGGAACCTCAGCACCACATAAAAGTAAATAAATAAAATAAAGGTATTTTCCATCTACATTTTAAATTGTAATACAATTTAAAAATATTTTTAAAAAGTAGACACCTCCTATTAAAAAAAAAAGGTGCATTATATAATGATAAATGGGTCAACCCCCCAAGAAGAGTTAACAATTCTTAGTATTTATGCAACTAACAACAGAGTATCAAAATGCATGAGACAAAACTGATGGAAATAGAAAAGTAGATAAATCCACTATTCTAGTTGGATATTTCAAGATTTCTGTATCAGAACTCAGCACCATCAACCAACCAGACATAACTGACATCTAGAACTACTTTATCCAAAGGGAAAAATCAACAAAACAAAAGGCTCAATTTTTTTATAACTGTTATTTTATTCAATTCCTGTTCTTTTTTAAATGATAAAAATAAAATGTATGACACTATGTGTTGAAATATTTACATTGTGCAAGGACTAAATCAAGCTAATCAACAAGTGCATTACCTCACATAATTTTTTGTGATGAAAACACTTAAAATCTCCTTTTGCAACAATTATGCAATACATTGTTATTAACTATAGTCATCCTGAAGTACAATAGATCTCTTGAATTTATTTATTACTTTCATCTAACAAATAGCCATTTTCCAACTCTAGTGCTCTTTCCTCATTTACTACTTGCACTTGATATTCTATTTTAGGAAGAAGCCTCCCTATTTTCCATAGTTATTGATGTATTTATCACAGATATGGACCCATAAAAAGGTTTTCTCAATGATTTATAAGTCTCTGCTCTGGCTCTACTGGTACTTAATTATTTTGGTCTTTGAAGCATTCAGATCATTCATATACATGTGATGGAGTTTAAATTGGTATAACCACATCAGAAAACTGTCAGAATCTACTAAAGCTGTAGATAAAACTACCTTATCTCCCTCCATATACACACATCTAGACATATTCTTGAACATTCTTAGCACCAAAGTCTTAATAACCCAGTGCAGGAAACTACCCAACGGCTCATCAACAAGAAAATGAACGAATACTCTGTTATCTTTACCCACTACAATATTATGCAGTGGTAAAAATATACAAACCACAGCTCACCAAAAAAATGAAACATCTCAAGCCTAAAGCCAGACCACACTCAAGGATATCCATAGTGTGTGGTTCCATGTACAGACACGAAACTGTCAAAATAAGTTTACAGTGCTATTTAACAGTTGTGGTGGAGGGATATGCATTTTTCAAACATGTCAAAATCATTTTTTAAAAAGGAAAAGTTCAAGAATGAATGAGACTAAAGAAGCATGAAAATTAAATTCAATTTCTAATCAGAACCTATGTTTTGCACAAAAGAGAGGAAAATACTAAAGGCTCTCATTAGGTCAATCAATAAAATAGAAATACAAATGGTAGATTAAAGTATTTTGTCAATGATAAATTTACTAATTGGGTAAACCAGGAGTGGATATATTTCTAGACATGTACAACCTTCCAAGATGAAATCATGAAGAAATAGAAAATCTAAACAAATCCATAATGAGCAAGGAAATTGAATCAGCAATAAACATCTCTTGTCAAAGAGAAGTCCAGGACCTGCTGTCTTCAAAGCTGAATTCTGGAACTCTTTCAAAAAAGCTTAGAGAGAAAACTTCCAAGCTCATTTTACAAGGCCAGCATTATCCAGACACCAAAGTCAGACAAGTACACTATGAGAAACTATAATTAAAGACCTATATCTCTGATGAACATAGAAAAAAAATTCTCAACAAAACATTAACAAGCTGAATTCAGCAGCACATTAAAATGATCATTCACCACAATCAAGTGGGATTTATTCCTGGGATATAAGGATAGTTAAAAATACACAAATAAATAAATGTAAACTACCACATTAACAGAATGAAGCATGAAAACCATATGATTATCTCAGTAGATGTGGAAAAAAAATTGACAAAATTTAACATCTTTGCATGTTCATAAAAATTACATATAAAAGGTACATATACATATGCCTTACTTTACACATTAAAAACCATTTGTGAAAACCCCATAGATACTATTATAGTCAATAGGGGAAAATTAAAACTTTTTCTCTAAGATCAGAATTAA